AACTCGCGGGCATCAATTTCGCGGGCCGATTCGCGCACGCATGATCGATTCCGATCGTGAATATGGGCGGGCCGCGGAACGAATAGACGATGACGGATCCGTTCGAAGATCCCGCAATGACGCAATATTCCGCGCCGTTGGTTTCCGATACCGGTGTAAATGATCTGGCGTTACGTAAAGCACTCCGCCAGCCGCGTTATATACAGGCATATAGCAGGATAGCCTGATCGTCTCGCCGATAGTTCGCGCAAAATATTGGATTTACTCCCCCCCCCCCCCTCCCCTCCCTTCCCGCGTGTTCATCGCGCGTCCAATAAAGTCTTAAAGCGACTCAACGCTGCTCGATATTCGAACAGTTTAGTATAGAGCTCTCAATAATGAAGGATCCTCTGAAATAACACGGGGAAAGCGACGAAGACGTGAGAACGTTGATGGTGCGCTTATCAATAATGCAGAAGCCGTAAGCCGAGAAGCCGCCGCGCGGCATGAAATTTATGGAAAAGAGCGCCTGACGCTTTTTATTAAATGCATCGCAACGTGTTTGTGCAATATTTATATTCCCCGATGAAATTTTCATGGCTTAATTTAAACGGTTCGCAAGCAGCGCGCGAGTTTAATGTTTAATCGCTAGTTTCTCGGCTATGCCTGGCGACCGTCTAATATAAACCTCCAACGATTTAAAGCACACGAGCAAGCACGGGGAGGTATGTCGTCCGGCCGATTAAAAGACGCATGATTTATACGGCCCCATAAGGAATGTTGTAACGTAACGAGCACAGTTAACGGCTCGCGCGCTAAGGATTCAGGCCCGGCTCGGCTCGGCTCGGCTCGGCACAGGGATTATTGGTTGCATGTGGGACGATAGCGAGGGACACGCCTTATGGTCACCGTACTTCATTATGTCGTAATCCTTGGGATTCCTAAGACGCGAATTATCCATTTCGCGACCGTCTACCCTTGCCGAAAAGGCTTCATGCATCTGCCGGACGTGCTGCTTGATTTCTCAACGGCGCGTCTTTAAACGAGAATATGAAAAGGACGTGTTTGGATTCGAATTCAAGACGCGCCATCGAGAACGTGACTCCTAAAAAACCGACAATGGAGCTTCTCAGTCCGATAAAAGCGTTGCTGGCCGTCGCGTTAATTCGCGTCAGTTTGGGTAGCGCTGCCAACGGCGATTTGTCAACGGTGAGTGGACTATCTGGAGTGTCGAAAATACAAACAGATCAATTTCGTGACTGTAAGCCAAATCACCTTTCTGTCTTCAGTATTATGTTGCTTTACTTGTGCTTTTATCAGGATTTTATTTGGTTTATGCTGATCTTTCTTTGTCGCAATTACAGGGCGCACGGAAAGAATAGCTTTGTTGCAAATTTAAAAATTCGATCAAATCCGATCTGAAAATAATTTTGTTGGGCCTTGAAAATTATTATATATGACATTCAAATTGAATTTTAGAAGATAAAAAATTTTTGCAAAATTGTTATTATATTTGGGCGTCCTACATAATCATTTTGGTTCAATAAAATTATTTTCAGTATCTAGCCAAATCTTTAGATTTATCAGAGAAAACTCTCTGTGCGTACATTTCAACCTTCAAAGATCTCAACGATAAATGATCTCCTTAGGCTAAATGAAACGAGCGATTTTTTTGTTCCATTGCGAAGATTTTACACGTGTAAGAGTCTCACGCTAGGGCACAATAGGTACTTTCCATCTTAGAACCTCGTTAGTTTTAGAGCCGCCTCTAGTCATGGCTTCTTGTAAGCGATCAGTTAACCGTCACTTTAAGCGACTCCTTCTCGGAATCGATTCTATTAAGTTATTACACTGTTGCTATTACCGTTGCTGCGCTGCATTGTGCTTTTATATAGACTCATGATGCTGATTTAACTACTTTGCAAAAAAGAAGATAAATACCGGATAATGTCGGGTAATATCAAGTCACGTTACGTAATCGAATTTTAATGTTGTACGTCCATGTGATACATCTGTGAAAAATTAATAATTTCATAAAACGATGTTGTTATCGCGTTTACGATTGTATATGCTGACTCAAGAATTATTTATATTAATTTCAAATGAATAGATATTATATCGAATATGTATCGAATATAGTGAATAATTAAAAAAAATTATAATTATAATATACAATTTTAAATAACTTTTTTTGAAACTTACAAACAAAAGAATAATTTTTAATACTTTATGACCGGTATTCACAGAGTCCATTCTTGTTTTAAAATTGTCTTATGTAATGCTTTTTGAAACGCTAATATTTATGCAGCTATACAGATTTGTCTGAATAAACCTCTTATGTCTATTCTAAATATTTAACATAAAAAAATATTCATCAAAATTAAAAATGAATGCTATTAAAAGTTAAAAAATATCTAATTATATCGATTTTCTATTTAAAATTTTTTATTTGGGGTTGAGTGTTAGAAAAATAAGAGAGCGTTGTTACATTTCCTCTTTATTCTGTACACTACGGATCAGGATGATCTATTTTTGGTCGCCTACAGACACAGATTGACTTTCGCACGATATGGTCTGACCATTCGTATTGTTAAAAGTTAATGTCGAGATCGTGTATCGCTTTGATACAAGATCTACGCTTATTCGGATCGTTATTCAGAATAAAGTCGAAATATACCGGGATGAGATTTTAAAGTACATATTTAATATTTTTATATTGAGCTAGAAGAAAATTTGATATTGAATAAATATGTATTTTATTATATTATAGGATTATTTCACTTGAGAATAAGGTTCCCACGATTATCATCGCCGATTATCATCATGATTTTGTCAGTCTAATCTAACTCGAGACCATATCTGCATTTAATACGAGGTTATACGAGATCGCATAGATCCCGTGGCTTCATTCCTGGCCTGTAATGGACCTCGAGACACATGGGATAGTACACATCTTACGAGCGCATCCCGAGACGCGTATTCATCGCGCGGACGTAAGTCGTCGTCGTCGCCGCAGCCGCCGCCGCTGCTATCGTCGCTGCAATTTCGTGCATGTTCGAAATTGCGCGATCGACCGTACCGCGCGAGTGGATACGGTAATCAGACGTCGTCGGTGGAAAAATGCGATTGAATTCTGGATGCCGTGCCGCGCCGCCCCGCGCCGCGCCGTGGCGCATCGGCAACGCGATGTCATTAAACGATTCCCGGCGGGCGGCCGTTCCCGTAAGCGAGACGAAATGAAAAAGGCAAATGGATGCGCCGTGCGCCCATTATTACTATTGGCATACGGGATATAGCCTCGGCCGTGCACCATGGTCAAGGGTAATAGTTATTTCCCGTGCCGCCGCACGGCTCTCTCTCTTTTTCTCTTTCTCTCTCTCTCTCTC